TGTTCCAGCCGAGTTCCAAGTACAACTCGACGAGCTCTATCTAATGGTAGCTTTGGATTTTCCATAGCCCAAACCATTGGTGAGAAAATCTCAAAATACCTGATTTTCGCTATGTATATGGTCACTAAAACCTGTCCATATTCATTCAGGAGCATGTTCCAAGTGTTCCAGCCGAGTTCCAAGTACAACTCGACAAGCTCTATCTAATGGTAGCTTTGGATTTTCCATAGCCCAAACCATTGGTGAGAAAATCTCAAAATAGTATCTTTTCACTATGTGTATGGTCACTAAAACCTTCCCATATTTGTCCAATAATGTGTTCCAAGTATGGGTGTGGGTGTGTGGGTGTAGGTGTGGATGTGGGTGTGTTGGGTGTAGGTGTGGGTGTGTTGGATGTGGGTGTTGGTGTAGGTGTGGCTGTGGGTGTGGTGGATGTGGGTGTAGTTGAAAGCGAGACTACACCCACACCCACACCCTTTGTTCATTAGCATTTGCAACCGTTTGTTGGAATACTTTTAAGCAGCCGATGGCATTGGCTGCCTTTTCAACTTCAAGTCTTGCTTTTCTAGTTAAATGTCGTGTTACTGACTTTTCATCTGCACCATGGTCTTCGTCTCCAACAGCTCGCATGTGAACAACAATAGTATCTCTGTATGTTGGTTCATCTCTGATAAAATCTTCAAATGTTCTCTTGCATGAAGGTGTCTTACACGTGGCTATACAACGAAAAAAAGAAGAATTTATTTTACATGACTCGTCAAGACTAACATAATGGTTTTTGAAAGCTAAGGTGCAACGAAAATTACATGAGCGCACTTTCTCATACATCATGTCTGTCCAACCTGATTCCATTTCGCGTGTGGAGCTGTTGTAAATGTCTTTTCAGTCTTTTAGCGTCAAGATAAATGATGCCTCAACTACTTTTGGTGCGTTTGATTCCTGTTGAACTGTCAAACGAGTTTGTGGGTGTGAAGGAGACTCATTTGACCCTGTAGACTTATTCACAGATTTCGGTAAAAGAAGCTCGAGTTTATTTTCTTTATCTGATTCATTAGCTTTTTCAACAGAAACCTGATGTCTTTCGGACAGGCCAGCCACATTTTTTTGACAATGTCGTCGCCAAACATCATACAAAGATCTACGTGTCTTTTCTGTTTGATTTAATTTCAGTTTTGATATCAAACGGCCCCAAATAGATTCTTTAGAACTGCTGAAATCATTACAGCGCCATATTTCCTTTTCAAGTTGTTTTTTGTCGGATCCTAATTCCTTAACAGCCGATATAAATTGCTTTAGAATAATTTGATCCCAAATAGTTTGTTTGTTTTCTACTTCCTTTTCGTCTGACTGTTTATCTAAGTTATCTTCCATTACTTGCTTCGATGACTGATCATCTGATGAAGTATCTTCTATATGTTGTGTTGAGCCTGATTTAGATTTCTTTTTTACTGATGAGGTGAATGGAGTCTTTCGTTTCATTTTTCGATGTAAACAAACTTAACTACTCTATTTGTACTCCTTGTAGAATATAGATTAATTGAATCGACGAATGATGATGTATGTTGCAAGATGAATGATATTCAATTTGTCTTTCCTGTTTATATACTCACTATTAGTCAACGTTTTTCTGCTTTGACGTTTTCCTTTTCCTCTGTCCTATCGTTTCTCATTCGGTGCAAAATATCAATCAGTTGTTTATTGCCACTTATTCTTCAATGAAATAAATTTTTCCTTCAGTATAAGTTTATATGTATGTCACGCATTTACATCGATGAAGTTTTTATTTACTATCAACACTGTCACCTTTGAAGAAATATATTTCCAGTTGTTTTGTTTAACACTATCATATATATATACACGCTCGTCAACATTCAAGATCAAACGCTGAATAATTGGTAGTGACAATTGATTGAAAAGAATCAGATATTAATTGTCCTGAACATGCTCATATGAATAGTTGTTTAACTCAAGAGTTTCTAAAAAGGTGTTAAGTTTGCTTAACATGTATTTGTATTTATTCAAATCATACTCGTAGATATTTAATTTTATTTTAGTCTACTCAAAGATATTATAATTGAAATAATTCAGAGATATTGATTTTTTTTTGAATCCATTTAAACATTTTTTCGACGAGCACTCAGTCAAAGATATTGACAATTGAATTTATTTACTGATTCTTATTTTTGTGTGGACTCATCTATCGATGTTTATGATTATGGAAATTTAACGATATCTATTTTTATATGAATTTATCTAAAAATATTTATGATTGGATTTATTTAGCGACCTTTTTTTTATTTGAATTCATTCAAAAACGTTCATGATTCAATTCATTTAAAAATATTTGTTTCATTGGAATCCATCTAAACATGCTGATGTTTGAATTTATTTAAAGATGTTTATGATTGAATATATTTACAGATATTTATGTTTATTTGAATTTCTTCAAAGATATTTATTTTTGTTTCAACTCGTTTAAACATATTCATGATCGGATTTATTGAAAGATGTCTATGACTGAATTTATTTTATGATAGTTACAATTAAATTTACTGAAGATATTCATTATTAAATTTGTTCAAGATTATATATGTTCATCTGAATTGTTTTTAAGATGATTACGTTTGAATGAATGGATGGAAAAAGGCAGAAAGGAAAAATGTCGAAAGGAAAAAGTATCGAAAAAAAAAATGTTGAAAACAAGAATATTAGATGAAGATGAACATGCAAGATTGAAGATGAGGGTGAGGGAAATTTGTACTTCAATATACTCTCGTTTTCAGCATTTCTATCCATCTACATTTGTATTATTTTTCTTTTTGATATTTTTATTTTCGACATTTTTCCCTTTCGATATTTTTTCTTTCTGCTTTTTCCCATCATAGCGTTTGAATTGATTCAAAAATACTTATGATTGAATTGTATTCGCTCATATACATATGTTTTCTTTTGTGTTTATTTAAACAAAACAATGATTCCGTTATCTAATCGAGGATCTTTGTACTCAAATTAACTTCATAGATATTTTTAGATCGATCATATCTAAGATACTCATGTTTAATTGAACTGAGAGATATTTGTAACTAGCTCATATTGATAGTTATCTTTAGTTGAATCATAGGCACAGATATTTAAAATTGAATTTCATTCAAAAACATTAATGATTCAATCGTACTGAGAAGTATGCATGGTTCAATTATGTCCAAAAAATATTTATGTTTGAATACCATTCAACGATATTCATAGTTGGACAATACTTAAAAATACTTATGAGTAGGGGTGGCATTTTCCTGTTAATTTATTTTAAATTTAAATTTTTCAAAATTTAAATTTAAAATAAATGTAAATTTTTACTATAACAAAATTTATACTTAAAATAAGCTTAAATTTTCCGAATTAAGATTAAAAGGAAATGTAAATTTTTGTTATACCGAAAATTTATAATTAAAATAAATTTAAATCTTCGAGATTTACATTTAAAATAAATGTAAATTTTTGTTATACCAAAAATTTATATTTAAAATAAATTTAAATTTTCGGAATTTGCATTTAAAATAAATGTAAATTTTCGAAATTTACATTTAAAATAAATATAAAGTAAATTGAAAAATTTTATTTATTATGTTGTTTCAAACAACATAATCCATATCAGGATCACATGTCTCTATCAATTATGTTGTTTCTCGTTACGGTTCAACAGGCATGTTGTTAATAGTTTATATTTCAAAAGTAATTTTGTTCAGTAATTCTTTATTCCAGTGTTTGAAAGTTATAACTTAGCCTTTAGGCAT